CACTGCACCAACTTTGTCAGGTTATCTGACAATGCTAACATCTGATCAAAGGTAACACAGACTATCAGATGAAACTAGGAAAATACACATCTTTAAAGGGGAGAAAGACTGGCTTTATAGATGTAGAAATTTACACATAAACCCACATCTAACCCCAGGTTTTCTGTCATGTTGCAGACAGTGAAATGGCTAGGTCTAGACCTGCACCAAAAACACGTTCATGCCTCCCAGTCTAGGGTTGTGGCATTCCCAGGACGTAAGAGAAGACCTGGATCACCCCAAGAGGTCTGCTCTGGCAGTCAGCAGCCCACAGCAGATGCACACGGGCATCTGGGGGAGACAGGTTGGTTGGTGACGCCACAGCACACCTTTCTGGTTCCACACAAATAGCTATCAAGTTGCAAAACACACACTCCCTATCTCATTCTTCTCTTGTTTATCTGCACAAAGAAACACAAAACCATATGCAGGCTTTCACTGTCAATATAAGTCATGTTATTCTTGTAATTCAATCCAGGTCCAGAGCCTGAGAGTTTCTTTTCCTCCCTTGCCCCCCTTTTTGCTCCCCTCACCGTTTGCCTCTCTCCAACCTTGTTTAGGTTTGAATGCTGTGTCATTAAATTCCAGAGCAGTAAACACTGCAGCGTCTCTAAGCACCCACACAGTGCTTTCTAGGCTAAAAATTAAACATGGGGCAATTTCATTCATACAAAGACTCTGCCTTTTATTTTCCTTTACATCCAACTTAAAGGATGCTTTTGGCAGATGCGTAATGAAGGAAAAAAAAACGTTTGCTCTCTGCTTCCTCCCTGCACTCCCCCCATTTCCACTCCCACCCATCAGCCATAAAACAACACAGCCCAGCCAGATCCCAAACTGAAAGCAAGACAAAGCACCCACACAGCCCCCACTTGCATTCAGCAGAAATGGGCCGCTCCGGGGTAGCCAGGATCTACAAGTAGGCCAGACTGGAATAAACAGAGTAAACAAAGGGTATCCTGTCCAAGCTGAGAGGGGCTAAAGAGAGGGATGTCTTTCATTAACATGCAAAGCAGGGATGCAAGCACACAGACAGTCAAAAGCATCACTGGAGCTTGCTAGGAGTAATAGGAAGAAAGCAGCACATGATCACACCACTACTGTAAGGACCCAAAGCACATCATCACTCTGCTGCACATCCCACCTACCAGGGACCAAAACAAGGCAACAACCCACACACCCACCACCACCCCAGAACACCAGGGCAGCCCCAAAGCTGCTGCAGCACAGTGTGGCTCTCCAGGAGGCTGAGCAGGGCACAGTGCACACAGGTACACTACCAGGCAGCCTGGGCCGTGCAAATGTCAGAGCCAATGACATTTAAAACAGTATAGCTGTCATTTTAGGAAAGAAATGGGAAAGGGGGAGAAAAGCACAGCACAGCCATAGCAACAGGTCAAGTGTTTGCCAGAGAGAAAGGATGATGCAGATTTGTGGCATCTCAGTTTTCAGGGCATTTGTCACATCATAAAATCATTAGCCTGGGAATTGATAAAAGAATTTAGTTTTTCTGCAACCTGCTGCTATAAAGTCCATAGAGATCCACGTGTGAAAGTCCATGCTGTGTATACCCCTGTGTCAACCATTACACAGCTATCAGAAACAACCCTCATGTTTTTCCAGACTCATAGGAAAAATGCAGCACATGGAGAGGTGAGCAAACAGTCAGAAATTTGTAGCAAAACAGCAGCCTGTCGGCTGCAAGTCTGCTCAGTAATTGGAAAAAATTGAACATGCTGCTTTTTTTAAGCAGCCTAATCATATTTACTATTACATCAGACTTACCCACCACAAATTGTTCTCATGCAATGGAAGAATTTTTAATCTAATATCTTGGACTCAGATAATTTCCCAGCTGCAGAACTGCAATAATTTCCTATCTTTCCGTTGTTGAGATAAGCCGATTAACTTGGATATGTTTTAGTTTCAGAGTGTGATTATCTCCCTTTATTTTACTTGAGAGAGAAGGGTGACTTACAGTAAAATAACTTTGTTTTCCCCAAGCCAGCCCTTAAACTCTCCTTTTCTGTGATGGAGATAAGTCTTTGCTGTTGTATTTTCCTTAGCCCCTTTACTTTCCACACTTCCACTTCCTCTCTCAGAGACACTACATTAACAGCTACTATTATTTTACTCAAATACACTGTTCAAGAAATCTCTGAAATAATTCTTAAAAACAAATTAAAATCTCATTAACAAAATATTTTCTTCTTTAGAAGACCTTTGAAAGTTTATTGAATACCCCACAACCCAGCACTACTGGTAAAATCCTGCTTGCAACTGTTCCTTTGTTTTCAGGCACATTTAAAGAAGAATTGCAAAAAAAAGATGAGGCTTGAAGCTCTGATTACATGCACAGTGCAGCAAAACAGGAAACTCCATTTATTTCAGTAGAAGTGATTTAGACACAAGTAAGGGAGAAAACAAGCAAACCCTTGAATTTATACCATTACAAATTGCAAAATACTGCTTACACAATCTTGGTGAGATTTTTTTGACATTTAATGTTTTTTTCTTAAATTCTCAGGTCATAGATTTACTCTATTATGTCAAAGGGACTTCCTCTCCTGCTTTATTTATTTTCCTTGCATTTCTAGCAAACAGATTCTAGGAGAAAAGCCTGAGTCCATAAGATGACACTTCTTGGACTGCATGGCTGCATATGTTGAAGCCTCTTGATTTCCTTTTATCTTCCAGATCTCATTTGTATTTAGGGCTTTTCAACCTGTGTTAATTTGCAGACCAAATTCGACACTGGAAATGTATGAATTACACATATGCAGATTCCCATACGGCACGTATCAATTCATTCCTCTTAGTCACCATTCATTAATTCCTTTGAAATAAATGTTCATGGTTGAAAAGCACGAGTTTGATGATTTAATGGGAGTGTGGCTTATGTGTTTTCCCTGCACAAGATTAGCAATACTAAGAAAGAACCAGCCTGTTTAAAGGGAGACTTTCCAAACAGCTATTGTGGCGGAATGGTCGCATAAACATGGAAGGTCAAGAACTTCCTAATGTTATATATGAAGCAACAGAACAAAAATGAACATTTTATTACTTATTACACAAAAAAAAAGTATATAAAGTAAACCCAACCCCAAGAAGCCATTATTCATGCACAGCAGTGTCCCTCACAGCCAAGCCCCTAAAACCATCCCTGTTTCCAGTAAGGTGATGGGCAAGCCCTGGTTCTCACCTGTGGGAAAGAGAAAGTGGACAATGTCCTCTACTGGCTGCAGTGAGGGCATTTGTGTCCCTGAGAACGCTCTCCTAGATGAGAACCTGCAGTATAAAAGCAGGGCTCCCATTACTGGCTCATTGCTATGGGCACTATTCTAGGAAAGCAGATCCAGAAAAAATGGCAAAATACACGAGAGGAGGAAGAAAAGTTACCAAGATCCTGGGCTCCTCCCTGGAGGAGGAGCCCATTCACTGCCCATTCCTACTGGCAGTGAAAGCAGGGTATAGAAGATGGGTGGTGAAATGCCAGAGTGCTGGGCATGCAGCCTGGCAATGCTTGTGGCTTTGCACCACTTGGCTCCAAATCAGTTACTACTTGGTATCCCGAGATACAATTTCTCAGCTACCTTTAATTTATTTTTCTTTGTTAAATGTAGTAAAATCAAGGTTAACTTAAATCAGGCTAATGCAAAAAAGTTACCTTAATGAATGCTATTCTAGTAATGAAATTTGCCTAAGACATCATATGATCATTTTGGGTAATTTCTCAAAACCTTTACACTTCTATGCTGGCACAGGGCACTCCTATCTAAAACATACCAAAATAACTTCATCTCTAGGCACCTTTGCCTAACAGCAAGTGTTAGCAGGTAACTAATGACATCTGGATTTCACCACAAAGGAGCTGCAGAATGAGGGGCTTTCTGCCACCCAGCTGAATTGAAACCCTAAGAGTGAAGGTGAACAGGTCAGCATCCCATACCACCAGAATCCCTTGAAAGTTAAAGTCACCCTGCCAATTCCAGTTCAAATTAATCTAGAGAGGATTAAGTCTACCTTTTATGCTATTTTCTAAATGAAATCAGATGTACATGTAAAACTGGCATTTAAAAGGGCTTTACCTAATAATGAGTCAGGTATTGACAGAACAATAACAAAACCATGAAGACCAAGGTAAGAGGCAATATATTCTCATTAATAATTCAAATCTCAGCATGGATATCGATGACCATGCACTTAACAGGGAAAACTGGGCAGCGGCTGGAGCTGGCCCAGATTTCCTGAAAAGTTGCTGGGCTGCAACAGAGACACACTGGAGAGATTTTACTGCAAGATTCAACAAGAGAAATGGCAGCTCCTCGTTAGTAAGGTATCTTGGACCCTCAGCAATACCATCGAAATGGAACAAGGAACAAAACAGAGCATTAGCAGTCTATTGAAAGAGGATGGGTGAGAAAAAGAAGGGAAAATCCGGAAGCAAAATGCCACCACTTCCTCTTCTTCATAGCCCTAATATTTGGAGCACAGAGCAACAACATTCAGCAGTACCTAATTCCAGTTACTGCTTGGGAGCAAGCAACATTAAAGGCTTTAAAATAAATGGGTACAATCAGCAAAAGTGCAAATAAACAGAAGGGTTGTAGGAGCCAAAACCACTCAGGTCAAACCAGTTGGGGCTAGTTAACATAATCTGCTCTATTCACACAACTAAGTTTGTTTCACTGAGGGCATGAACTTTCTTGGAAAAGCTGAAGTAATTAACTGCAGGAGCTTACACATTTTCTTTCCCTGCAGTTTACTTTACCCGGAATTAGAGCTGCTTACACACAACTGCTTCTACCAATTCATTCAAAAAGCTGAGTTTTGCTTGTCCTTTCCAGAGGGACATGTCTGAAGAGGTGGTGCCAGTGAACTGTAGGATTCTCTTCAATTCCTCCTGCCTCCTATCCACTCTTCCCATCATTTTAATTGATACAAAGGAAAACATATCCTACCTCCCGGAAAAAGAGCAGGTTTCCAATGAAGGGAAGAGGTGGAGGATGTTGGATCCCTACTCTGCTTAGTTTGGAGAACGCAGATGTGGAGTACCTGGAAAAAGATAAGGTAGGAAGTTAGTTCTGGATCTTGTCATGATAGGACTTGCCACAGTAGCTAGTTGAGATGACTTCCCTGGATTCGGAGATGGAGGAGAAGCTTTCTGTGCTGGTCAGACAGAACTGCCAGTGTGATTACACTGCTTGGCAGCTCCTCAGGTCACAAAAGTGAATGCAATGCACTGGTGCTTCAGAGAGGGCAGAAGGACCAAGTGACTCAAACACAAGCCTGCAAAATTGAGCAGTGCTATGAGAGCACTGCTCCTCTTCCCAAAGAGGGTCATGTAAGTCAGAAGTGACTCTCCAAAGCTACATGATACTACAACTGAGATCAAAAGAAGCATTTGGGGCTTGACTTCTGTGGCACTGTTGGGAAAGGAACTAGACAGATTTCCACATTATTTTCTTCTTCCATCACCTCTACCTATACAGATCACAGAACAAAAATTCAAACCAGTCTCAGTTGTCCATGAGCCAAGACACTGTCAGTATGTTCAAGTCAAACCTAGTATTTGGGCCAGATATGCTGATTAAATGATTTTTTAGAGCTGCCAGTCAGCAAATAAAACAAATATGAAAAATACAGAGAAACAAAACTCAGACTGAAAAGATTCATGCATCCCTTGTTACAGATGAAACTGTGGCATGCTGACAGGGACAATACCGGAAAAAAGGAAAAAGAAAACCCCAACCCCAGAGCCTCTCTTTTTCCTCCCCACCCCCTTTCTTAATACAAACAATGGATTTAAGTCAATGGACTTCAATTAGTGAAACCTGAAAGAGCAGGAGCTTGCAGCAGCTTTGATTACCCAAAGACACAACATTCATTGTGCAGTTCTGTTTGCTGAGATTTCCTGCAGCACAGTACTTAATTTATTAATAGATTTTCGTTTGTGACGGTATTTTACAAAAATCATAATTAGGAGATAGAGGTTTAATAATTGTTAAATAGCAACCATTTTCTTTTATTAATGGGGTAGGACAAACCTTCACAAACACAAACTCCCCCACAAATCCAATAGAAATGATGTGTATTCAGTCTATGCAAGGACACTGTCAAGTATGACAAGGTATCATGGAGTAAAGGCACAGAAGTCAACATTTATTACATATTTTATACATATTATTGATTTCTTAGCTACTTAACTGCTTTAAAAAATATGAGATTTTCCTCAGCTAATACTCTTGGGAAAAGAAATATTTTAACTTTAAAATGACAAAACAGCCTACATGATACATTTTCATCTCCAAAGAGAGGAATTTTTTTTTGCTGCTGCTGCTGTTTGAAATCTTCCTGAAGTGTCTTTGTGTGATGGCAAAGTCCTCATCTTCAGTATGTAAACAGTGAAAAAGATTAAAATCCCTGTCATTGAAAACCCGTCAATTTAGCAGTATTCTATCCTGATGTTTTCACTGTAAAATACATGGCAGATCACAAAACACCAGGCTACAGTTAACTGCTCATTTCACCACACACCAGACAGTCTGCAGACTCCTGGTTTTCATGTACAGCAAACTAAAGAGTGACTGCAACAGAGGCTTACACTAGACAAAGTAAATGATGTGATCACCAAATATTTTAAAAGGGAAAAAAAATAATGAGTGCCATTTCACAAGGCAAGAAACAGAGACTGTGAAGACTATTTATACTTAGATGAACAGTTCATCATTGTCAGCTTCTGAACATTACTGGCAGCTTCATACAGCTGAGGATTTGCTTTCCTTTCCTCCCTCCTTATGTGGTTTTCTCCACTGCTTTTTATTCAGTTACATTTGAAGCAGGTTTCAGAAAGGTAGGGAACAGCAGTTTACAATGAGATGGGAGAGAGCAGCAGTGTCATCAAGTTACAGACTGAAATGTAACAACAAAAGGATGAAGCCAGCAGGAGAAAAAAATAATCTCATCAATAAACATATCTAGCTCTACTCTATGATTTTACAACATTTCTGATGTTGTTGAAACACCTGATGCTTTAGAGAAAAGAAAACAGGGCACAAATGACCAAAATCTGACAGGGCAGCAGGCACAAAAGAAGGATCTAACACTGCACACATAGCCTTAACTTTGACCATTTCTAATGCAACAGCTTACTTTCTGCAGCCTTAAATATTAAAAGCTTTCCCCCATCTCTGCAATATTTCAGCTCCTCCTCAATATTTCGGGTGGGGGACAGAGAGAGGAAAGAGTGGCCTATAGACTTCTTGAAAAAAAAGAAGAAAAATGGTCCTGTACAACACACAGTGAACACCAGCAATACATGAATCTGACAGCTTTGCGGCACAAACCTCTGCCTTTTGAGCCAGAAGAGGCTGATAAGTCAAACAGGCCAATTTATGTGATTTGGTCACTCAGCACCTCCATGGTACCCCCTTGGGCAGTAACTCAGAGCTGCATCCTAAGGGAACTGGGAAAACACTGTCTGGGTTCTGTTGCTGGGATGGGAAGGTGGGCTAGAAACTGGGCAAGTGTAAAAAGGCAGGGTGGCCTCGTAGGAAAAGCCATTTGTCTGGAGAAGCTGTACATCTAAATGAAACAGCTCCAGGCCTGCCTTATCACCAGTGGCCAGTTCTCACTCTGCCACTTAATACATTTCCACATTATCACAAAAACTAATCTGGTATCAGGAACCCCCCCACACTGACAGTGGAACCTCAGCCAATGGACTAGAAAGGTTAAATCAAACGCAAAATCTAGAAATAGAGGAGATACTAAGAGGTGACCAAGATAACCAAAGATATGGAACCACTTCTGTACAAGAAATAAGTTAACAGGCTATAATCTTCATCATGGAGGGAGAAAAGCAACCTATGCAGGTTATAACAAATATATTTAATACCATGCAAGGCTTAAAAAATAAATTAAGAGCTATTACCCAAAAATTTAAAATATAGTATGAAAATTCACAAATGAATATTCAGGTGGCAGGATTAGAAAAGAAACAGTTTTCCAATAAATAAAAATACTACCTATGGAATTCCTTACCACTGATGATTTTCTACTCCAGAAGTGTAAAAAGCTTCAAAAAGTGATAGAATAAACTAATGAGGGTGGAGAGAGGGAATCCGCAGACACTTTAAGCTTGTAAATTTATCAAATGTAAGAGAAATACATGAAAAACATTCAAGGAAAGGGAAGAAAATTCATCAAAGTTACTTATTTAATCAGGGAACTAGTCTGTAAGCTTCTAATTGCATAACAGATTAGACTTTTATAAAACCTAAAAGATAAAACCCCAGACACTTCAGCTTTAAGAGGAAGAGACGAATGAGTCTGTGAGAAGTGAGGGGCATGAAAAGGATAAAACTCTGATGGCAGCAACATTTATTGGACAATCTAGTACATTCTCACTCAAAAGAGAAATGTACCCTAATATTTACACAAGTACAGCTGCCTGCACAACCCTTAATTTTAAAGCTTGGCATTATATTTTGAATTAAGTGACAAGACATCAAAAAGAACCAGAGGAACGTCAGCAATGAAGTAGATCAATAAACAATTCAGAAACCCTTTGAAGACATTCAAATGGCCTCTGAGAGCAAAATGCTCTCTGTATATATTAAACACAACTGCTAAAAGGAAGTTAGCATGCCAAATACATTCCTGTAGGCCAACTCACAAATACTAACTTCTCTCCACAAAACACCACTCAAAAATTAAAAAAAAAAAAGGAGAGACATAGATAAATAATATAAGTTGTGAAGGATATATAACCAACAGAACTAGTCATCTGTCCAGCCAGGCCAGTACTGGCAGAAAAAGTATTATGCTGTCTACCATTAAGGGTGATCAATTTGTGTAGCAGACAAGATTACAGAGTTTCCAATTCTGCACCGTGGAGTTCAACATGCTGCTGAAATTACCCCAAATTTCTCCCAACACAGAAAGTGCATCATTCCTTCTACATCTAAGTAATACACAACCTAATAATACCTAAAAAGCTATAAACTGGGACACAGAGATGTTATTTAATCTCATTGTTGGGAATTGGGAGCTGTGTTATTTTGCAAGACTGGGAAAACAAAGTATTTTGCTGAGATAATGGAAATCATTCCTGCCAAACGAGAGACAATCGCCATGCATTTTTACCTATTTGCCTCTATTTACTTATTCCCATACCAGATTCCAGTTAACACTGGGATGTATTTTGCTCACAAAGTAGTGATAATACACAAAATAAAGGTAGCCTCCCCAGCATTACAATGACGGGTTGTGAAAAAAAATATATTCAAAATATACAAGCATCTCTGGCAGCCCAGTCTCACCAAAACATCATCCCAAAGCTGGCTACAGACTTTCAGCTCTCAGCCCTCTCTGGGAAATTCTGCATTATGAATACTGCAGCAGGGTCACTGGAGAGCTGCCATCACATAAGTCTTTCCTCATGTCAGCTCCTCAGAATATTTAAGGTAGAAAATCATTATTGCGTCCCATTCTGACAAAGGAACACACACAAAACAGGTCTTGCAAGTGGGTGAGTGCTGCAGCCAAAGTGATACCATCCCAGAAGGATACAGCCTGTGCTGATTATTACCTCCAGAAAGTGTAGTCACTGAAAGAAAAAACAAAACCACAAAATTAAATCAGCTGTTCACCCCCAAAAGACAGTCTCCCAGAAAACAGAGGAGAGAAAAATGGGGAAGGTAAATCCCTCTTTTTTGGTCAACACAGGCTGCTAAATTGCCCTTTACTGTTACCAGCAATACCTCTGGTGGAAAAGGAGGGATTTGCTGAACAAAAATACAGTTGGATGTGTAGAATATCAAGCTCAGAGTATGGAATTATTACCACACCTCCAAAAAGAAATACTGAACATCCACAAGTGTGCCTCTAAGAATGAACTGAAATTAATCTTCAAGAGACACTTTAGTCAGTTTGGGATAAGGAAATTTGAGTACTGCTATTTGATTTTCAAGCTCAACAAATCTGTACTTTTTAACCACGAATTTGTAGGGCTATAATAACAGATTCAGGGATAATGAGAACTTCCATCTAAC